TTTCAAATAATCCACGACTGTTGTAGATGTTGAAAAAATATTTTTTTAAAAAAATCAAGACTGTTGTAGATGTTGAAAAAATATTTTTAAAAAAATCCACGACTAATGCAGATGTTGAAAACATATTTTTAAAAAATCCGCGACTGTTGTTGAAAAAATATTTTTAAAAAATTCACGACTGTTGTTGAAAAAATATTTTTAAAAAATCCACGACTGTCATATATCGTAATTTTTTTTTTCATTTTTAAAAATTTACGACTGTTATATATCTGAAAAATAAAAATATTTTTAAATAATTTACTATTGTTATATATCAAAAAAATATATTTAAAAAATTTATAACTGTTATATATTTATAAAAAAAATATTTTTAGAAAATCCCCGAAAACACACATTTTTAAAAATCAGACAAGTCGAAAAGTACTTCTAAAAATCCATGACTTTTAGATGTGTTGAAAATTTTAGTTTCAAAAATGAACAACAACTGGTAAAACTATTGTAAGATCTTCTGTCTCCACAAGACCCCACATTTCCCATTTTGATCTCTATCACCTTTTGTGTTTTATACATCGTTGCCTCGTTTTAATGTTTAAATAATTTTTCTTGTTTAACAATCATATTTTCTTTGCTGTCTATTCTTGTCTCGGAAAATGAAAAAGTTTTTCATCATCATCAACAGCATCTCATTATAGACGTCAGCGTGAATATTATCAAATGTATCCTTGTGCTCGTTCCGGGCAGCACTTGTCTCTAGTCCTCTCTCACTCTTGTGTAAGTAGTTGTTTGTTATTTTGTTTGTGTTAGTGCGTTTGCTTACTACTACAAATAAAAGTTTATTATAATTTTTGTATTTTTTTTTTCTTTATTTCCGTCATTTTCTTGTTATTTTATTTTGTTTATTTTGTTTTTCTGTTCTTTTCCGTCATCATTTGAAAGTTCTTCAGAGTATTAACAAAATAACGAAAATTGCATATTTACAAATAACTATGCAATTTAATGTTGTTGTTGTTGTTGCAGACACACACACAGACCCAGAAGAGAGAAAGCTAAACTTTTCATTTTTCACATTATTATTTGTTTTTGTTTTGCCAGCGTTTTCAATAAGAATTTGTTACAAAGTTTATTTGTCGTTTTTCTATTTTTCCCCCATTGCTAAGGAAGTTTTTCAGGGAGAGGGGGTGTGGGAGGAGGGTGTTTCCGTGTTTTGTGTGTTTACTTAAGGGCAAATAGACAGACTTTGAAATAAAATTATAATGAAAGTAATAAATTTGGAGAATGTGTGTGTGTGTGCGGTAAACAGGATGTGGTGATTTAGTCAATTCGAAATCGGAATATGGAGAGAATATATTTCATATACTATTAAAATATATAACAGTCGTGGACTTTTAACAATATTTTTTAAGATATATAACAGTCGTGGATTTTTTAACAATATTTTTTGATATATAAAAGTCGTTGATTTTTTAAAAATATATTTTTTCAACATCTACAAAAGTCGTGGATTTTTTAAAAATATTTTTTCAACATCTACAACAGCCGTGGATTTTTTAAAAACTTTTTTACGACATCTACAACAGGCGTGGTTTTTTTAAAAACTTTTTTACGACATCTACAACAGTCGGGAATATTTTTATATATATGTTCAACATCTACAACTGTCGTGATTTTTTTTAAAAATATTTTTTCTACATCTACAACAGTCGTGGATTTTTTAAAAAATATTTTTCAACATATACAACAGTCGTGAAATTTTTAAAAATATTTTTTCAACATCTACAACAGTCGTAGATTTTTTAAAAATATTTTTTCAATATCTGCCACAGTCGTGGATTTTTTAAAAATATTTTTTCGATCTCTTCAATAGTCGTGGATTTTTTAAAAATATTTTATCAATATCAAAAACATTCGTGGATTTTTTAAAAATATTTTTTCAACATCTACAACAGTCGTGGATTTTTTAAAAATATTTTTTCAATATCTACAACAGTTGTGGGTTTTTTAAAAATATTTTTTCAACATGTACAACAGTCGTGGACTTTTTAACAATATTTTTTCAATATCTACAACAGTTGTGGTTTTTTTAAAAATATTTTTAAAAAATCCAGAACAGTCGTGGATTTTAAAAATTTTTTTAACATCTACAACAGTCGTGGGTTTTTCAAAATTAATTTTTCCAACATCTACACTTTTGTGGATTTTTTAAAAAATTTTTTTCAACATCTTCAACAGTCGTGGATTTCTAAAAATATATTTTTTCAAAATCTACAACAGTGGTGGATTTTTTAAAAATATTTTTCAAAATCGACAACATTCGTGGATTTTTTAAAAATATATTTTTTTAACATCTACAACAGTCGGAATATCTACAACAGTCGTGGATTTTTTAAAAATATTTTTTCAAAATCTGCAACAGTGGTGGATTTTTAAAAATATTTTTTTTTCAACATTTACAACAGTCGTGGATTTTTTAAAAATATTTTTTCCAACATCTACAAAAGTCGTGGATTTTTTAAAAATATTTTTTCCAACATCTACAACAGTCGGGGAATTTAAAAATATTTTTTCAACATCTACAACAGTCGCGGATTTTTAAAAATATATTTTTTCAACATCTACGAATGTCGTGGATTTTTAAAAAGATATTTTTACAACATCTAGAACAGTCGTGGATTTTTAAAAATATTTTTTCAACATCTGCAACAGTTGTGGATTTTTAAAAATATTTTTTCAACATCTGCAACAGTCGTGGATTTTTTAAAAATATTTTTTCCAACATGTACAGCAGTCGTGGATTTTTTAAAAATAGTTTTTCAACATTTACAAAAGTCGTGGATTTTTTAAAAATATTTTTTCCAACATCTACAACAGTCGTGGATTTTTATAAAAATATTTTTTTGATTAATACAACAGTCGTGGATTTTTATAAAAATATTTTTTTGATTAATGCAACAGTCGTGGATTTTTTTAAAAAATTTTTTTTTCAACATCTACAACAGTAGTGGACTTTTTAAAAATATTTTTTTCAATATCTACAACAGTCGTGGATTTTTCAAAAATATTTTTTGACATCTACAACAGTCGTGGATTTTTATAAAAATATTTTTTCAACATCTAGAACAGTCGTGGATTCTTTTTAAAAAAAAAATTTCAACATCTACAACAGTCGTGGATTTTTTAAAAATATTTTTTCAACATCTAGAACAGTCGTGGATTTTTTAAAAATATTTTTTCAACATCTAGAACAGTCGTGGATTTTTTAAAAATATTTTTTCAACATCTAGAACAGTCGTGGATTTTTTAAAAATATTTTTTCAACATCTAGAACAGTCGTGGATTTTTTAAAAATATTTTTTCCAACATATACGTTTTCGTGGATTTTTTAAAAATATTTTTTCGACATCAACAACAGTCGTGGATTTTTCAAAAATATTTTTTGACATCTACAACAGTCGTGGATTTTTTTAAAAATATTTTTTCAACATCTACAATAGCCGAGGATTTTTTAAAAATATTTTTTCGATCTCTTCAATAGTCGTGGATTTTTTAAAAATATTTTTTCGATCTCTTCAATAGTCGTGGATTTTTTAAAAATATTTTTTCGATCTCTTCAATAGTCGTGGATTTTTTAAAAATATTTTTTCGATCTCTTCAATAGTCGTGGATTTTTTAAAAATATTTTTTCGATCTTTTCAATAGTCGTGGATTTTTTAAAAATATTTTTTCGATCTCTTCAATAGTCGTGGATTTTTTAAAAATATTTTTTCGATCTCTTCAATAGTCGTGGATTTTTTAAAAATATTTTTTCGGTCTCTTCAATAGTCGTGGATTTTTTAAAAATATTTTTTCGTTCTCTTCAATAGTCGTGGATTTTTTAAAAATATTTTTTCGATCTCTTCAATAGTCGTGGATTTTTTAAAAATATTTTTTCGATCTCTTCAATAGTCGTGGATTTTTTAAAAATATTTTTTCAACATCTGCTTTAAGCGTGGATTTTTTTAAAAAATATTTTTTCAACATATGCATTATTCGTGAATTTTTTAATAATATTTTTTCAATATCTACGACAGTTGTGGATTTTTAAAAACATTTTTTCAACATCTGCATTAGTCGTGGATTTTTTAAAAATATTTTTTTAACATCTACAACAGTCGTGGATTTTTTAAAAATATTTTTTAACATCTGCATTAGTCGTGGATTTTTTTTAAATATTTTTTTCGATTTCTACAACAGTCGTGGATTTTTAAAAAAATATTTTTTTAAGATATATAACTGTCGTTGAATTTTTTAAAAATATTTTTTCAACATCTACAGTAGTCGTGGATTTTTAAAAATATTTTTTTTTCAACATCTACAACAATCGTTGATTTTTTAAAAATATTTTTCAAAATCTACAACAGTTGTGGATTTTTTAAAAATATTTTTTTAACGTCTACAGCAGTCGTGGATTTTTTAAAAATATTTTTTTCCACATCTACAACAGTCGTGGATTTTTTTTAAAAATTTTTTAACAACTACAACAATTGTGGATTTTTTAAAAATATTTTTTCCAACATCTACAACAGTCGTGGATTTTTTAAAAATATTTTTTCGATCTCTTCAATAGTCGTGGGTTTTTTAAAAATATTTTTTCGATTTCTACAACAGTCGTGGATTTTTTAAAAATATTTGTTAAACATCGACAGCAGTCGTGGTTTTTTTTAAAAATATTTTTTCAACATCTACAACAGTCGTGGATTTTTTAAAAATATTTTTTCCAGCATCTACACTTTCGTGGATTTTTTTATACCCTCCACTAAAATATGGAGGGTATGGAGGATTTTTTTTTAATTTTTCATTATTTTTTCAAATCCGAAAAACAATATTTTTCCTCATATATTCCACAGTGCAGATCCATTCCCAAAAATCAATTAAGTTTCGACTGGATCTTTCCAAATTTTAAATGACAAATTTTGCGGTAAATGGCCTAATTGATCTGCCAGTCTGTTCGGTCATCAAATATGTCGCCTTCAGTCGAGCGTGACGGAGAAAATTAATTACATATTTTATACATTTTTATAAACTGAGTTATTATTTAAATCATTCCAATCAAACAGATGGTTCCAATTTCTAAAAATTGAATAAAAAATAAAAGCGATAATGAAAAAGTATCATTTCTATTTATTGTATCTCGTTGCAATACCAGGTATCCTTGGTTCGAAACAGCTATCCTTGAGGGTAGTTTCAACCGAGTGTGAAACTACGGATGATAGTTTGGTGAAATTTGATCGGTGTTCTGTGGACAAAAATGCCAAAAATCAAATGGCCTGGAATGTCGATTTACAGCTGTTGCAGGTGGTGCGCACGGTGGAGGTAGGGAAAAACTATTTTTTATTAATTTTTTATATTTCTGCAAATTTTTTTTCCCCTCTGCCAGATCGAAGCCAAGCTCCTGCGCAAGGTCAACAAGAAATTCCAACCTTTCCTCTATGAGGACACCGTCGATTTGTGTGATTTCTTGAAGCGCCAACAGAAACGTCACATTTTCTGGGGTCGAGTCTATAAAATGGCCCTGAAATATTCCAATTTGAATCACTCATGTCCCTTTGATGTAGGTTCAAATAAAAATATATATTTTTTTTATTTTTTGCAAAAAATTATTTTTTTTTTTATAAAATTCCAGCATTCAATTGTCATACGCGATTTCCTATTCGATGATGATGTCTTCAAGGCCCTACCATTTCCCAGGGGCCATTATTTAATAGATCTACATTTTATGTTAAATTCGGAGCCAAAATTACGCATTAAATTTCAAGTGGCCAGGCAATAATAATTACTTGTGAAAAATGAAATTTCAAATAAATTCCAAAAAAAAAAAAAAAAATATTTGAGTGGATTATAATCTAAAAAAAACCAAAAATAATAAATTTTAATAATATCCTTACCAGTATTGAAAGTCATAAATGTCAGTAATTTGTATTAATATTTACCTGCAAAGAAGGAAAAGAAGAAAGGTATAAATATAATTAGATAACAAGAAAATAAGTTGTAAGTTCGGCCGGGCCGAACTTTGAATACCCTCCACCATTAGTGGACCTGCACCTACAATTTTCTGTCATAGGCTGTAGTATCCATTACGAACTTCAAAGACCAAATTTGAAACAATTTCGGTGAATAATGTCGCTTAAATCACCAAAATACCGAATATGGGGAGGTACCGTTATATGGGGGCTATAAGAACACGTGGACCTGCACAGACAATTTTCTGTTATAGGCTATAGTATCCATTACGAACTTCAAATACCAAATTTGAAACAATTCCGGTGAATAATGTCGCTAAAACCATAAAAATACCGTATATCGGGAGGTACTGTTATATGGTGGCTATACGAAGACGTGAGCCTGCACAGACAATTTTCCGTCATAGGTTGTAGTATCCATTACGAATTTCAAACTCCAAATTTTATACAATTCCGGTGAAAAATGTCACCAAGATCATCAAAATACCGAATATCGGGAGGTACCGTTATATGGGGGCTATACGAAGACGTGGACCTGCATAGGAAATTTTCTGTCACAGGCTGTAGTATCTATTACGAACTTCAAATACCAAATTTGCAACAATTCCGGTGTATAATGTCGCTAAAATAATCAAAATATCGAATCTCGGGAGGTACCATTATATGGGGGCTACACGAAGACGTGGACCTGCATAGGCAATTTTTTGTCCCAGGCTGTAGTATCCATTACGAACTTCAAATAACAAATTTGAAACAATTCCTGTGAATGATGACGCTTAAATCATCCAAATACCGAATATCCGGAGGTAACGTTATATGGTGGCTATATGAAGACGTGGACCTGCTCAGAAAATTTTCTGTCATAGGCCGTAGTATCCATTACGAACTTCAAATACCAAATTTGCAACAATGCCGATGAATAATGTCGCTAAAATCATCCAAATACCGCATATCGGGAGATACCGTTATATGGGGGCTATACCTAAACGTGGACCTATATAGTCAATTTTCAATACCAAAAGTCCTGCAGACCAAAGACACATTTGAGTCAAATTTTTGAGGTTGTTAGAGGTTGATAACTACTTCAATTCGTTCGGAAGCTAGAGTGATTGCCACAGACGTACAGATGGGCGGATGGACACAGGCGAACGGACATGGCTAAATCGACATAGAATTTTATGCTGGTCAAGAAATATATATAGAATATAAATATACTTTGTTTGATCTAAAATGTATATTTCGAGGTGTTACAAACTTCATATACCCTCCATACTATGGTGGAGGGTATGAAAAATTCCGGGTCTCCCTAAAACGAAAATTTATTAAAAAAAAAAACATTTTTAAGGTACTTGTCTGTCTGTCTGGCTGCCAGGTGTGCACGATAACTAACGAAGGGAGTATCCGATTTGGTGCAAATCGTAATATTTTTGTCAAACTTAGATTGAGTTCCGAGATGGGCAGTGTCGGTCCACTCCTTCTGTTTCCTCCCCCACAACAGGTCATATTGTTCATAGAAAATAATTTACCGGATAGGAATAGAACGGATAATCTGATTTTTCTCAAAATTTGCAAATTGTGACATTTACATTGCTGCAAGATCAGGTGCCAGAATGGACAAGATCTGACTACTCCTTCTGGTACCACCACCACAAAGGGTTAACATTTTGAATAACCAAAACGCTCATAAAATGCAAAATAAGCATCCAACTATTTTCAAACTTCGCACATCCCAATATTTCTATCAAAAGAAGATTTGATGAAATGGGATATATCGGACCACTTCTTCAAATATAAACTATGGAGATATAATAGATCGGTCCTCTCTTTCTGGTATCACAACCGCCTTGCTCAGACCCGGAATAGCTTTAAAGACCTTCTTTACAAAATGTTTGAATATTTCCATAACATGTTAAATATGCCTATTTCAAGATATTCTGAACTTATCTTCTGCATCGTGGCTGTTCGAGAAATATTTTAAGGCCCTCTTTGATTGTTTAAAAACGTTTCCATTGTTCAGGATATTCTGCGAGTGGAAATTAATTCCATATTTTCAATTTTATTTATTGCTGCATTTACTTAACCTTTTCTAATCCAAAACGTCGTTTTTTTTAAATTCTCCGAAATTTCTATATCAACAACTTCAATGGTCCGGCCAAACTCTGTAGCAGCGGTATTAGGGTGGTCAAAATTGGGGTGACAACAGTTTTGAGCAGTTCATTTATGTGTTGAATAGCCACCGTCAGATCTGGCACCAAAGTGAGAACTTTCGTTAGACCACCCACCAAGGCCAGTGCGGGGGTGACGGCAATGGCCACATCCAACACGGAGAGGAAGATGAACTGGAAATTTTAAACAAATCAATATTTTCAAATATTCAAAATTATTTATGGAAAAAAATAAAAAATTCTTACACTCAGTAATATGCCTCTTAAAAGTTGGCTCAGACTTCGGCGGGAATACATTTTTGTCGTGAGAATTGTAGTATTAGACAGGGTCATAACAGATTTGGCCTTATATTTGTACTTAAACGTCTATGGAGTAGCTAAAGACACGTTTGTCACGTTTTAAATGCAGGGCAATAAAAAAAATTGAAAGCGATTAGATTTTGTCGTAATTTGAGTTCAGCTGAAAAAATCGTTAATTTCAGGTGAACCTTGTTTTTTATAACCTCCACATAGCATGGAGGGTATATTAAGTTTGTCATTCCGTTTGTAATACCTTGAAATATACATTTTGGACCCCACAAAATAAGAAAGGAAGTAGATTGATAAAATTTTGCTCAAATGTATACTTTTGGTATTAAAAATATGCCATGTAGGTCCACGTTTTGGTATAGTCCCCATATAATTGTACCTCCCGATATTCGGTATTTTGGTGATTTAAGCGACATTATTCACCGGAATTGTTTCAAATTTGGTATTTGAAGGTCGTAATGGACTCTACATCCTATGACAGAAAATTGTATGTGCAGGTCTACGCCTTCGCATAGCCCCCATACAATGGTTCCTCTAGATATTCGGTATTTTGATGATTTTAGCGACATTATTCACCGGAATTGTTTCAAATTTGGTACTTGAAGTTCGTCATGGATACTGCAGCCTATGACAGAAAATTGTTTGTGTAGATCCACGTCGTCGTATAGCTCCCATATAGCAGTACCTCCCTATTTTCGGTATTTTGGTGATTTAAGCGACATTATTCACCGGAATTACTTCAAATTTGGTACTTGAAGTTCGAAATGGATACTACAGCCTGAGACAGAAAATTGCCTATGCAGGTCCAGGTCTTCGTACAGCTCCCATATAACAGTACCTCCCAATATTCAGTTTTTTGATTATCTTAGCGACATTATTCATCGGAATTGTTTCAAATTTGGTGTTAGAAGTTCGTAATGGATACTACAGCCTATGACAGAAAATTGTATCTGCAGGTCCACGTTTTGGTATAGCCCCCATATAACGGTACCTCCCTATATTTCGTATTTTGATGATTTTAACGACATTGTTCACCGGAATTGTTTCAAATTTGGTATCTAAAGTTCGTAATGAATACTGCAGCCTGTGCAGGTCTAGGTCTTCCTATAGTCCCCATATAACTGTACCTCCGTATTTTCGGTATTTTGGTGATTTTAGCGACATTATTCACCGGAAGTGTTTTAAATTTGGTATTTGAAGTTCGTAATGCATACTTCAGCATATGACAGGAGATTGTCTGTGCAGGTCCTCGTCTTCGTATAGCCCCCATATAATGGTACCTCCGGATATTCGGTATTTTGATGGTATTAGCGACATTACTTACCGGAAATGTTTCAAATTTGGTATTTAAAGTTCGTAATGGATATTATAGCCTATGACAGAAAATGTTCTGTGCAGGTCCAAGTCTTCGTATAGCCCCCATATAACTCGACCTCCCGATATTCGGTATTTCGAGGATTTTAGCGACATTTTTCATCGGACTTGTTTCAAATTTGGTATTTGAAAGTTTATAATGGATATTACAGCATATGACAGAAAATTGCCTATGCAGGTCCAGGTCTTCGTACAGCTCCCATATAACAGTACCTCCCAATATTCAGTTTTTTGATTAATTTAGCGACATTATACACCTGAATTGTTTCAAATTTGGTATTTGAAGTTCGTAATGGACTCTACATCCTATGACAGAAAATTGTCTGTGCATGTCCACGTCTTCGTAGAGGCCCCACAGCACGGTACCTCCCTATATTCGGTATTTTGGTGATTTAAGCGACATTATTCACCGGAATTGTTTCAAATTTGATAGTTGAAGTTCCTAATGGATACTACAGCCTATGACAGAAAATTGTATGTGTAGGTCCACGGCTTCGTATAGCCCCAATATAACGGTACCTCCCGATATTCGGTATTTTGGCGTTTTAAGCTACATTATTCACCGGAATTGTTTCAAATTTGGTATCTAGAGTTCGTAATACTAAAGCCTATAACAGAAAAGTGTCTGTGCAGGTCCACGTCTTCGTATAGCCCCCACATAATGGTTCCTCCATATTTTGCGGTATTTTGGTGATTTAAGCGACATTTTTCACCGGAATTGTTTCAAATTTGGTATTTGAAGTTCGTAATGGATACTATAGCCTATGACAGAAAATTGTCTGTGCAGGTCCACGTTTTGGTTAGCCACGGTACCTCCCAATATACGGTATTTTTGACGCACTTGAATATTGCAATGGCTCATGACAAAAATTGCCTATGCAGGTCCGCGGCGTCGTATAGACCCTAATATAACGCCTACATTCGGTAGTTTTAAGATTTTAACAGATTTTTTAAGGGATTTTTTTTTTGAAAATT